TTGGTTTTGAACTTTGATAAAAATTCAAAATTTGCTATTATTCTATTAACACACTAATTTATTCTACATCCATTAAATTTTTACTTACTCTTTATTTGATCTTCATTCTTGTTGTTTGTATGTCTTGTAACTTCCCTAATTGTAACATTAAAAGCGAGTCAGATCGCTATGTTTCATGCTGGCTTTGTGATGGACTTGCCCATATTAAGTGTGCTGGACTGACAGGTAGAATCTTAGATTCTATTCTCGACTGTAGGGACTGCGTTGTTCCTGTGAAATTGTAGATCTATGAAATCGATCTATTTAAAGTTTATAGGAGACGCAATGGCTTTAACAATCGGTCGAGATCTTGCCTACTGAAAAATTTAGGCACTACGAAAATTGTTCAAATCTTTTAAGTTCCCGAATGATTCTCATGAATCCTCCAAACCTGCTCTAAGCGTAAACGTCTCCGATGAAATAACACTTAGTTCTTCTGTACAGAAGGAACGTCTCGCAATTACCTAATAAATATCTCTTCTCCTTGCCCTCTAGGTGATAAGCCGTCAACTTCAAAAGTCAATTCCCCAAAAGCTCTATCTAATAGTAATAAGTGTCTCACAATTCAGAGCTCCCCTAATAACTTAGTAACATCTATTAAAAATTTGGTCGTATTTTCACCTAAAAGTCTATATTTATTTCTAGACTTGCCAAAATACCTTGGTTGAGGACATTAAGTCTTACATTTCGTCACGTTTAAAAATTGATCATATCAATATCGTAAATTTAACTTCAATTATGATAAAGTATATCATCGTTTAAAATAGACGTATCTCTTGAAACATTCAAAAGATCTTAGATAGTTCATGCTACCTGGGGCTTTTATATGCAATTTAAGCCTAAACTAAGAGTCAAACTAGGAAAACATTGCTAAATTACCAAAAGCAACCACCGATATAAAAACTGATTGGTAAGAATTCGCTAAGCATTTATTATCAAAATGTTACAGGTCTTAATACAAATTAATAAACTTATATTTAAACAGTTCCAATTTTAATTTCCATATATTGGATTTACGAAACATAGGTTAAAACCTCATTTTGATGAAATTTTAAATAGCAATTTCAAATATTTAGATGTGACGACTGAACAGAATCGGTGGAGGTGTTCTATTGCCATTCCTCTGTCCCATCTGAAGATGTTCTTGTTCCAGGAACCGACTCATTTGAATTTAAATGTATTAGAGTCTATGTTAATAGTTGCTTTATTTATTTAACCCTGGTTTATATACCACCCCATTCGGACTTATCTGTATACATGCAGTATGCTTCTTTAATAAATAGTGCTACTTCGATGGCAAATAATGCAGTTTCATTAATCGTATTAGGAGATTTCAATTTACCGTGTGCTTCGTGGAAGGCTTTCGATGACTATATCGTACCGATTTGCAATCGGTCTTGTTTTCATGAGTTTTTCGAAAAAATGTCCGAGTTGGGTCTGAACCAAATTAATTTGATTCCGAATAAATTTGGTAAATGCTTAGATTTAGTATACGTTGATACCTCTTCAAAGTGTTCCGTTATTCAGAGTAACCAGTAATATCTGTCGAAATCGCAACAATGTACGCGATAATAATTATCAAACTTCGTGCTTCCGTACTAGGTTCAACTTTGCAAAAGCTAATTTTAAAAAGTTAAATACAGAACTTTCTACAATATCTTGGCCTAATTATAATGGTGATATTGATTAGAGTGTCTCTCATTTAATAACATTATTACGAAATTATTTGAAAGTATGTTTCAATAGTAATTAATAATAAAAGTAAAAGTAGAAGTCCGTTGTCGTCGAAAGAGTTACATAAATTGAAAACAGAAAACTCGAACCTTTAAACATTTTAAAAACCGGTTCACTTGTCGACTATTCAAAATATTCCGTATTGCGTCGACAATATTTTGACCTAAACAAAAAATGTTATACTAATTACTTAAATAAAGTAAAAAGAATGTTGTAAGTAATCCAAAATCGTTTTATGATTTCGTCAACTCCAAACGCAGGATTTCCAAATTTCCGTCCGCGATGAAATACAAATCTATCATTTCAACTGACAATGTTATTATATCCAATATGTTTGAAGAATTTTTCAAGTCAAACTACTATAATAATTCTTCCAAAACTTTTTCTTATCAGCACGTTCTGTGTTCGAATACTTTAATTAACGCTCTAATTATTTCTGAAGAAGACGTCCTACTTAAATCAAATAAGTTAAAACCATCTTTTAGTTACGGCCCAGACATGATAGCCTCATGCTTCCTAAAAAATAGTGCCAAATATATTTACTTGCCTTTGACAAGGATATTAAATTCCTCTTTTAAACACGGTATATTTCTTTCAATATGGAAACAGTCATTTATAATTCCTTTGCATAAAAGTGGATTTAGATCCAACATTGAAAAATATAGAGGTATCGCAAAACTATCAGTTATACCTAAACTTTTTGAAGCTATCATCACTGACCATATAACCTTTTCGATTTCTCCGTTAATTTCCACATCTCACCATGGATTTCGTAAAGGGAAATCGATTTTAACAAACTTGCTTGAATTTTTAAACCATGTATCATTGGGTTTTAGGGAACATAAGCATACAGATGTTATATACACAGACTTTAGCAAAGCTTTCGATAAAGTAAACCTCTCGATTCTCATACATAAACTTGATCTACTGGGCTTTCAGCCAAGACTTCTTCAATGGGTAGCTTCCTATCTTTATAATAGAGCACAACGAGTGATATACGCTGACGACGTAAAGCTTTTTAAATCATACACCTTAACTGAGGAAAGGTGTCTGTTGCAAACAGACTTAAACAATATGGTTGCATGTTGTGATAGAAATGATTTGCCATTGAATCTGAATAAATGTAAGACGATGTGCTTTTCTCGTAGATCTGTGCACCCCTCTTCTTATGTAATAAAACACCATATTCTGGAGCAAGTTTTTAACTATTTGTATGTTGATTTGGGAGTTATAATGGACCCTAAGCTTAATTTTTGTCTTCATATTGACACCATGGTCTTGAAAGCAAAAACTGTCCTCAGTTGTGTTAAAGGTTGGTCTAAAGAATTTAGAGATCCGTATATTACTAAAACACTTTATACAACTTTGGTTAGACCTATATTGGAATATGGCTCTGTTGTATGGAACCCTAACTACCAAATCCATTCTGACCAGTTAGAGTCTGTTCAAAAACAATTTTTACTTTTCGCCTTAGCGCATTTCCGATGGGATTCTAGGGTAAGTCTACCTCCATACACTAGTCGTTTAAAACTTATTAATCTACCTACACTTTCTAGTCGTAGGGAAATGCTTGGCATAATATTCTTAGTGAAAATCTTGAATGGAATAGTTTGCAGTTCTCTTCTCCTGTCTGAAATTAAATTTAATATCCCGGTTCGCTTTTGAGGCAGTTAAGACCTTTACTGTTAAAATCCTGTAGGTCGAATTTTGAACTAAACAAGCCATTACGCCGTATATGTCATGATATTAATTCTCATTCCAGCACATTTGACTTATCTGACTCACTTTTCAAAATTAAAAAGACTTTATTGTTTTCTCTTAATGAATGACAATGTAACAATTTATTATATTGTAACTAGAAATTTTAGCTGTTGAAATTTCAATTTGAATCACTATACACGCCACTGATATTAAATTTGAGCTCTGGGATGATATGAGATGACTTTGAAGGAACCGCGTTCCAAATTAGACAGAGGGTGTGGTACCGCCATTTAGTACATAACATTCTTCTCATATTTCTATGTTATTGTGCGAAAATGGGTGAAATCGGATTACAACCACGCCTATTTCCAATATAACACCATTTTAAATTCCGTCTGATTCTTTCACTTTCCACTATGCAAATGAAGCAACAATAATTGTATGGGGGTAAAACTGTGCATGAATAATGCGTTTGAAGTATGCCACCTTGTAACCAAAAATTGTCTAAATCGAACCAAAACTGTTCAAGCCCCTAGGTACTGAATAGACCCCAGTGCCTATAGTTGACTTTTTACCGAAAATATCGGTCAATGTGTAAGATATATAATTGAAATTGATATAATAGAATAAGTAAATGAAACTCTCGATAATAGTATGTTTTTGTATCAAAAATGGGTTGAATCGGATCAATACTACCTTTAACATAAAATTTTGCCAACACCTGAAGTAATTTCCCGGGCTTTTATCCTTGCTAGTTGCGAGAGTATAAAATGTTTGGTTACACCCGAACTTAGAACTTCCTTACTTGTTGATTTTATTTATGATTGTTGAACGCATACGTATTGCTCATACATATGTAAATGCATAAACGCATAAAAACCTTTGTTTATGTACATTCATATGTATATACCATGCATATGTTTTGTACTGTCTTGGCTAATAAATTAACATATCATTATAAAAGCAGCCTTTATACTGTTTGCATACTTTAATAAAATTTATTAATGGTGAGTAGTTCTATACTACACAATTATCTAACTCCGTAGTGTCCAGCAAATATTTTTCTGGCATTTTATTAAGACATCTAAGTTTTTAGAAACGACAAAAATTGGTTAATTTTATTAAAATAATTGAGGTATTGTGAACCCTTCCTCCATTTCGATTACGTTACGATTTAACAATCGTTAGGTAAGTAAGGCCCAATCATTTGATGTTGCGAGGTATAATAATAATTCTTATTATATTAAACAAAAAGTAATAAATAAATTTTGTTCTACTTCTCAGAGAGAGATAACTCAGTAAGTTTCAGTCATTACATTTTGATTAAATTAGTCATATATATATTTTAGCTTTTTTAAGGAATTTGCGTATGTCTTTTGAAGTGCGTTTTGGAAAGCAACATCCCTAAAGCTGATTTCGAAATTTGAGGGCTCTTAAGTTTTAAAGTTAAAATTTAAATTTTCTTATACACTATTTGCTACATGTACTATAAATATGAATTAAAACACTTATTGCTCGTTACTTACTTTGACAAAAGCTTCGTAGCTGAATGTCTCACTTGTTCTTAAGAGCCTTTGGATGGTGTTGCCAATGTAACGTCTAGTTAAGTTTATAACCTGCTCACTGGAATCATATAGGTTGAAATCCATGTTAAGAGGCGATCCCTTCATCCACTCGTATTTTATGTGAGTTTGATCATACCGCCAAATAATAACTATAGGACACAGCTGGTCTGCTTCGGCTCCCTTTGAAATCGCGTTAATAAATTCCTTTTGTTTTTCCTATGAAATAAAAAAATACACTCGCAAGTCAGCACTCTCTAAATTTATTTTGACTAAATTAAAATACGTTGGATCAACATACAAACAGTTTCGTTTCGTTACATTTTTGTGCGTCTAAATTGTTTCGTTTGTTACTTCACGGGGTCGGTCTTACTATTGGCCGAGCTCAATTTCAGCAACAAAAAAGGTACTAAGTGGTACTCTAGCATACTGTATATAATTAATTAGGTTCATTAAAATTGTAAAATGTATTAACTGATGTTTTCTTAGACGTGTGGTTTTCAATGAGGCTATATTTTTTTACTTGATTTATACTCAGTTTGGTTTGTCATTTCATATTGAAGATGTATATTTATCACCAAAATAATGGTTCGATTCGCCCGATGAAGCTAAACTATTTTTGTCGCTTTATATTAAAAAATATAAACTTAACTGAAAAGGAAGTACAAATTAAACGTAAATTTAAATGATGGCTTTTGCTTTATTCAGAATAACGACCCGAAGCATTCTACTTAAGTGGTTAAGGAATGTTGTTGTAGCACGTTAAAAAAGGGCAGCCACATACTCTTCAGAGTCCAGACTTCAATTCCATTGACTGTGGATTTATATGAAGACAAAGTTCCGAGAACGCACGGTTAATAGCAAAAACACGAAAAAACGTTAGCTTCGGTTGCACCGAAGATATAATACCCTTCACAAATACAAAGGCTTCTTACAAGAACTTGATTCCGATCGTTCAATTTCTATGACTGCTATGTATATGACATAGTGATCTGATCTGAACAATTTCTGCGGGGAATACACTGTTGCCTTAAACAATAACTCGTGTCTAATTTCGTGAAGATACCTCGTCAAAAAAAACAAGGTTTCCATACAAGCATTTTACTCTGATCGTTCAGTTAATATGGCAGCTATATGATATAGTGATCTGATCTATACAATTTCTTCGGAGATTGAATTATTGCCTTAAATAATAATACATGCCGTGCCAAATTTCGTGAAGATACCTCGCCAAATGAAAGAGTTTTCCATACAAGCACTTGATTCCGATCGTTCAGTTTGTATGGCAGCTATATGATATAAGTGATCAGATCTGAACAATTTTTCGGAGATTACATTGCTGCCGTAGAAATTTTTTCGGAGATTACATTGTTGTCCTAGATAATCATTCATTCCAAATTTCGTAAACATATCTCGTCAAATGAAAGAGTTTTCGATGCAAACGCTTTACTCCAGCAGCTATATGCTATAGTGATCTGATCTGAACAATTTTTCGGAGATTACATTGCTGCCGTAGATAATAACTCTGCCAAATTTTCCAAACATATCTCCTGAAATAAAAGAGTTTTCGATGCAAGCGCTTGCTTCCGATCGTTCAGTTTGTATGGTAGCTATACACTATACTGATCCGATCTGAACGATTTCTTCGGATATTGCATTATTGCCCTAGATAATCAATCATTCGTCAAATGAAAAAGTTTTCCAGTTTCTTAGTGAGAAAAGGACAGCTGCAAAATTTGAGATCGGTAGCTTAAAAACTGAGGGACTAGTTTGCATATATACAGACAGACGGACATAGCTAAATCAACTCAGCTCATGCTGATCATTTATGTATATATTTTATAGGCTCTCCGACGTTTCCTTCTGGGTGTTAGAAACTTCGTGGCAAACTTAATATATCCTGTTCAGGGTATACTTGTAATGAGGTTAAGGCTGCTCTTCAGGTAATATGGGCAAATATACCTCCTGAACTTACACAAAATTTGGTGCATTCTATAAATAAAAGACTGCAAACCATGATAAAGGGTAAAGGTGTACATAAAAAGTATTAATTTTCCTTTAAGAGTGTTAAAATGTCAATTTGTAAAAACTGTACAAATGTTTTGTTTTTGTTGTTATTGAAAATGGAGTTATTTTGGAGAAAACTGGACTTTTAAAAATAAATTTCAATTACATCATAAAAACTAATAAAACCGGCTTTTTCTAACTTTTGGATGCAACTCACAAGTGTTAATAGCTTAGGAGATAAGTCACTTCAAAGTCAAAGCATCCCCTGTACTCGCTTTTTTGGGCCACTGTATATACCTATGTACCTTTTTTTTGAAAAATTAAATATTTATTATGATTGTATAATTCTGATGACCAAAATAAGTTTTTAAATGCAAAACTTCTTCATAACACCTCTGCAACATATTATTTTTAATTTCGTACAAGTAAATTATCAATTTACAATTTAATATTAAAAAGATTATGGCAAACAATCATTTTGAACCAACTTCGTAATCAAACATATGATTTCAAAGTTGTCATCACCTTGTATTGTATAAACGTTGATTGTCACTTTACTTGTAGAGAATTCATTAAAAGTGAATATGAGTGTTATAAATTGCACTAAGCATTTGAGCGGCTGTCTTGAATTAAAGCATATTGCCGATATACGGCTTGAAATGTTTCGCTATAATCGTCAAATATTTTTTTATCGATGTGAGCACGGCAGTAAGCATATCCAGTGAGAACTGTAACTATATATTTTTAGAATTTCTTTTTATACTTTCATTGAATAGGCTTTTCGCGCTGGGCACATTTTCTTAGCGATTTTTTCGTTTCACTTCTGTTTATAGATTATTGTTGGATTTCGGAATCCGTATTTGGTAGGTACATATGTTTTTTTGAATTACAGCGTGGCCCCGCACTTGTTTGAAGCTTTGTTCGGCGGACAACATTTGTCAACATTTTTCCGTTACACATTCCAATTGTCATATATATTTTGAATATACGCAACATAATTTTAAGTTTCATCAATTGGTGTTCAGTTTTTGGGAGCAATGGAATCAGGAGCTGCTGAAAAAGTTCCATTTGCCAGGAAAAACAAAAAGTGAAATTGTTAAGATCCTCTAGAGCCTTGATGTTAACCGTAGATTCGTTCAACGTGCTGTGGTCAATTTAAGAAAAGTGGTAGTGTTTAAATACCAAAAAAAAAAAACCTGGTCGCAGTTACACGTCCGAATTCCAAATCTGCTAAAGATTGTACTTGAGCGAATAAGGAAAAAATTGTGCAATTTCTGTAAGAAAACTGTGAGCCGAAAAACCATCAGAAAATTTGTTAATAAAAAACGAATTCATGGGCTAACGAACGACAAAAGCAAATGAGAAAAGAAAGAAATTATTTGCTCCTTCGGCGGCACGTCAATTGTGAAATTGTGTTTTCTGATGAGAAGCTTTTTGTGTTCAGGCAAGCCACAACTCACAAAATGACGCATTTATGCAACCAGTATCTCTGAGAATCCAGCTGATCAAAGAGCTTTGAAAGGTATCAACACACAACCTCTGTAATGATTTGGGGAGCCATATCTGCACTCCCTCTCCTTTTATTGACAAAGGCGTAAAAATTAAATAAAAGTATTATTTACTTGTTGGACACTTCTCTGCCCATGTATCCAGTTTGTTTGGCAATAATCCATACTGCTTGCAACAAGATTTTGCCCCAGCTCATAAAGCAAGAATTTTGCAGCAGTAATGCAAAGACAAAATATCCCCTATTTTATTTCAGCGAATGAATGCCTGCCTTCTTCTCCGGATTTGGATCCTTTGGATTTTTGTATATGGGAATAATTGATGGGAAATGAAGAAATGTAAAAGACTTAAAACTGGACCAGTTTAAGCGCCATTTGTACAGAAGTTAGGACGAAATTCCATAAGAAGTCCTGTACTAGTTTCCAAAACCGTGAAAAGCTTTGCAAGCATGCAAATCTAGAGTTTAATAATAAATAAAACAAGTTTTCATCTTAACTTAAATATACATTTTTTTTGCGCAAAATTAGGTGCGACAATTTTTAGGGCTCACGTTGTATATTTCATTCACTCATAAAAATGTATTTAAATAAAAAAGAATATAAACTATGTTACATATTTAACAAATTTGGAATCGATCTCATTGAATTTGAATGAATTTGTATTAAAATAATTTATTCCTTACGGCTATACGGCCTACGTTACGTGGAACGTATCTAGGCCGTTAGGCGAGGTATCTGACTCAGCAATACAAATGTTTAAGAAACTAGAACTAAACTCCTCACATCCAATGCATAAAATCTATACTATAAACCTACAAGGAACCAATCCTAAATTCACTAATACATACGCAAACAAGTAAGATAGTTTTAAATTCGGGTATAACCAAACATTTCATACTCTTGCAGCTTGCCAGGATCAAAGAAGGAGAAAAGCCTTCAGGTGTTGGTTAAACTTTATTTTAAACAAGTAAAGAAGCTCTAAGTTGGGGTGTAACCGAACATTTTATACTCTCGCAACTTGCAAGGATCAAAGCCTAGGTGTTGGCAAACAGGATCAAAGAAGGAGAAAACCCTACAGGTGTTGGCAAAATTTTATATTAAAGGTATTATTGATCCGACTCAACCCATTTTTGACACAAAAACATACTATAATCGCGAGTTTCATTTATTTATTTTATTATATCAATTTCAATTATATATCTTACGCATTGACCGATATTTACGGCCTTATACATTTTTGGTTGGATTTAGACAATTTCTGGTCAAAAGGGTGCATACTTCAAACGCATTATTCATGTACACTTTTACCCCATACAATCATTGTTGCTTCATTCGCATAGTGGAAAGTGAAAGAATCGGACGGAATTAAAAATGGTGTTATATTGGAAATAGGCGTGGTTGTAATTCGATTTCGCCCATTTTCATGCTATAATAAAGAAATATGGGAAGAATATTATTAACCGAATTTGGTTGCAATCGGTTAAGCAGACGCCAAAATATGGGTTTTCATCTAAAAGTGGGCAGTGCCACGCCCATTGATTAATTTTGAATGCGGTTCCGAAAAATTCATCTTGTACCATCCCAGAGATAAAATTAACTGTCTCTGCTGTGTTTAGTGCTTGATTTATCGCGCTTTTAGTAGTTTTTAACAGTACCCCAGATTTCACCCATTTTCACACCGCCGATAGAGGTGCTAAAAACATTTGT